AGAGAGAGAGAGAGAGAGAGAGAGAGAGAGAGAGAGAGAGAGAGAGAGAGAGAGAGAGAGATCCTTTGAGGCTTGTGTTCAAGGCCGCTGCGCAAGGATGACATGCTTCAATCGAGATATGGAGCATATATAAAAACGAAAAAAAGGTATGAATCTACCGCTACAACATGGCAATATACACTGCCATGTGTGTGTGTGTGTGTGTGTGTGTGTGTGTGTGTATGTGTGCGTGTGTGTGTGTGTGTGCGTGTGTGTGTGTGTGTGTGTGTGTTTGGAGTGTGTGCACGTTACGCACGCCATACCACACTATGACTGTGAATGGTTGAGCTCCGGCACTAGCTTGGCCGGCACACTGCGGAATCCTGGCAGGGAAGGTGAAGTCTATCAACAATGGAACGAGTTATGCGGTGCAGCCGAGGCGCTTTAGAGTACGTCGTAGCCGTGCAAATGGAGCGGTAGCCATACAGTGTGAATGAACATATAGGCTGGAGGGCAAGGGGGAGGTTGGAGGGCAGACAATACATAAACACAGAGGACAAGCAAGGACGAATGTTGGAGGGCACGGGGGAGCAGAAGGACAAACGCCATACAAGCACACCCAACAGACAAACCCAAAAAAAACACAAGTCCTAAGATAGTCGAAGGACCGAAAAAAGTAAAAAATAAAAAAGTTGGTGATGAAAGATTGTTTCATCGGAGTTGCACCGACTCATCAGGAGGCTGAACCCTCGACAATCTGCGAAGTACCGGTTTTGGATGCTTTGGGTCATGAACCCTTTGACCCTTGTTGAAGGCAGATTGCCCACAAGCGGAACATAGCAGCGAGCGGCACCCGTGTGAAGCACCAGGCAACACACCCGAAGCCACTCAACCGCACAACACCGAAGACGACTGCAAGGAAAGACATGGCACGCAGGACTTGCAGCAAGGCAACCAAGCAGTGAAGAACCAGGCAACACCACCAAGACAACCACACTGCAAGGGACGACAGGGCGAACGTACACGCAGCAGAGCAACCATGCTGTGAAGCACAAGGCAACACCAACACGGCAGCCGAACTACACGGCGCGCAGGCAAAGGACACGGAAGGCACGACCAGCGGAAGGGCAGCAAGGCAGCGGAGCAGCGAAGCGCAAGGCAACACCACAACCCGGCCACACCACACAGCGAAGACAGCAGCTTGCCAAGAACGACCTGCGAGGCAAGCGGGACGGGCAGCAAGGCAGTGGCGGAGCGCAGACGAGGCC